CAGGAGATGGACCCTCAGGGGGGCGAAGGGCGCGAGTGGCCGAAGGATGGGATGTCAACCTCAAAATGAGTCAACTTCAAAACAAGCGTCATGTGGCGGTGGTTGTCAAAAATAGGGTACCCCCAAAATGGGTTGCCCTGGAGGAATGGAGACAAGGACTAGCACCTGCGGTTTTCTGGTGGTTTAGTTTTGACCCACACCCATTTAACCCCAGACAAGTAGTTTGGACGACTCATATACAATCAAGGGGTGGACGAATCCTGCGCCCCATGGGCTTGGGGCCCCCCTCCCCCCCCCTCCCACCAGGTCGTACAGCGGCGACGACCAATGGTTCTGAAGCCGTCCTTGGACGAGCTTCTGCGGCCCCGGCCTGTTTTGCTGCTCGGCTTGGGATGCGCTTCGCGTGGGTAAGTCTCGGAAAGTTCGTGCGGGAAAAGTTGTGAATGCCCGCGGCCCGCATGCCAGGGCAACCTGTGCAGCGCCCAGCTGGTTAATGTTGACCCCGGATTAATAAACCCCCCCTGTTTATTAATACGGGGGTGTTCCCCTCCAAACGGGTTTATTAATCCGGGATCAACACTGCTCTGCCTTTTTTTTGGTGCTCTTGTTTTGGCAAGGTGAGCCTTCAGTGTGGAAGCTCTCCCAAGGCAAGGCTCAAGTTTTGAGGGTCGCTTGAAAGAGATGGTTGCTGTCTTGCAGGTGGCACCAAGGTGACCAAAGAGAGAAAGCTCCCAGAGATAGTGGTTCCGAAGAGGTGAACATGGTGGTACGCGTTGCGCTTGAGTCTGGCAAAGCCATGCTCAGGCTTTAATTGTTTCGGATGGTTCCAGCCGCAACCTGCGTTGGAACCTGGAACGTCGTTGGATGGCTGAGCAGCATCCACAAACCCTCCCCTCTTGCCAACAATCGTGAAAGTGGACAGGAGGCCTTTTCTAGGGGAATAGTCTTCCAAGCCTCCTGTAAGCTTCCACGTTTGTTGCAAGGGGGGCATTAGCTTACCTACGGATCATCGTAATCCCTATATACATATATGTATTTCGTATGTATATATATATGCATATACACACTAGTCTTGCACCCCTATGCTAGTACCAGTAGCCGAGGGAGTTTGGGCACTGCTCAGTTGGCTTCTTATCAGAAGCTCTAGACGCAGCGTGTCAGCGAAGAACAGCAGCGTGATTTGTTGAGAGCTTGATGCTAGCGCATTTGATTGTGGCATGTGCTGCTCTTGTGGCATTCTTTTCCAAAAAGTACGTCCTGCCGGGTTGCCGCGCTGCGCGGCGTCGCTTTTTTTCCTACCGCGTTTGAACATGCGCAAAACTGTGGCCCTGCAATCGGTCTCAAAGCAAAGGTGCCTCGCTTTTCGAGGTGCCATGCTGTTTCCCAAACAACATGCATTTCGCCTAGGCGAAATCATCGCTTTCCAAGACAACCCTTCAAACTCCTTTTTTTGTGTGGTGCCATGCCGTTTCCCAAAAGTCACGGATTTCGCCTAGGCGAAACCATCGCTTCCCAAAAAGGTCCGACAAGTCCGTTTTTTTTTTTTGGGGGGGGCCGTTTTCTAAGACGTCTTTCAAACTCCTTTTTTCCCCAACAGCTGAAAGCTTTGGGGTCTCAGCCCAGATAGGCTCCGGGGTGGTTTCCACGAAGGTTCCACGAGGGTTCCACCAGGGTTCCACCAGCGTTCCACCAGGGTTCCACCAGGGTTTTTACCAGGGTTCCACATGCTGTTGGGGATATCACCTGAGCTTATTTTTGTTGGGGGGGTTGAACTTCCCAGCCGTGGGCGCATCGAGCTGAAGCCAAGACCTTTGAAGGCAACCCCTGTGACGCCTCGGTTCTGTCGGCGCAGATTGTTTCAGCAACGGCCCCCCGCATACCATGGAGGATAACCTATGGCGAGCCATTTTGGGGCGGATGAACATCCATTTCCCACCTATTGTGATGTTCACCAGGGGTACAGGGTTTTGACCAGCCATATCGGAATTCTAATCATTCATGTTGTGTACTTCAGCTTGTTCAATCGCACCGCGCCGCGTTCAACTGAAAGTGTGAAAGTGTGAAAGTCTGTGTCTGTGTCTGTGTCTGTGTCTGTGTCTGTGTCTGTGTCGGTGTCGGTGTCGGTGTCTGTGTGTGCGCGTTTGCGTTTGCGTTTGCGTTTGCGTTTGCGTTTGCGTTTGCGTTTGCGTTTGCGTTTGCGTTTGCGTTTGCGTTTGCGTTTGCGTGTGTTTGTTTGTTTGTTTGTTTGTTTGTTTGTTTGTTTACAGCTTTTGACGCCTTCTTGTGCTGCCTTGACGCTTTTCGCCGACCAGATCTGAAGCCTTTACAGCCCCGCGCCGCGCATCCGGCGCCCCGCCAGCGGCAAGCGGCTGCGAGGCCGGGTGTTCCCATGTGCCAGTCAAATTTCGAGTGGTCCGTACCGATTTGGCCATGGGTCAAATTCCAAATCGGTTAGCCCCCAGTGAACATCCCAATCCAACCACTAAAATAGCCTAAAATGGGTGGTGAATTCACCTACCCCAAATTGGGATTTCAATGGTTTTGACCCACAGCCATTTCTTTTATGGAACCGTTTCAATAGAAACCACGCGATTGCTCAACTTCTTCGTTTCCATGAAGGGTCATTGCAGGGGCGTGTGTTGGGGGAGAGTTGATGTGGGTGGCAAGCGAGGTATGACTTTGAGAGGCTGAGGTGCTGTCGGATTCAATGGGTGTAAAAAAGCCACGCGCAGGTGGCGGCGGGATGGATTCAAGATGGACAAAGGCGAGGTCGTGTCAATCTTGAATCCGATCGGACTTCTTCGAATGTTTTCTTCGTGATACTCGTAGAGCACTCAAGGGTGGGAAGCCGGAAGCGCAGCATCTCAGTTCGGAGGGCAGGAGGGCAACAGGTTCAGATGGAGGGACCCGGAGGGAAGGTTTGATGTTTTCGTTTCGTTTTTGGGGGTGGCGGGGGCTGCGGAGAGAGAACTGGCCGCCGTTAGCGCGCGTCAGGCGCTGTGCATTGCTGGCGGGGCTGCCGCAGCCGCGGGCGTGCTGTGGTGCCCGCGGTTTGGGGTTTGGGGCGTTTGGGGTTGCCTGCGCGGCTTTGAGCGCATAGGTGTCCTTTTTGGTGGTTTTTAGCGGCGAAAAATAGCGGGCGATGCCCTGGTATTTACCTTCTTGTTTCTTCTTTTCTCTTTTTTCTTTTTCTAAATCATCTATCAGGGTTTTGCCGCGCGTGGGGTTTCAGGTGCGTAGGGGTGAAAGCGCCAGGGGTGTTTTGAGGTTCAACTTCTGGTTCTTGTGGAGGGCAAATGGGAAGCCACCCCCCGAGGGTAAATGCTCAAGAATTCCCGTGAGATCGTGTGAGGGACCAGCCAGGGAATGGAGACTATAGGACCGCATTTTTTTGGGGATCCCATATGAACGGGTGCTAATCAGCAGGTTCCAGCTTGCAGCAAAGAACAGTCATGTGTGTGGCATCCGAGACGTTAGGGGTCTGTTTTTCCATAGGGTCACACAAGTTATTGCATCACAGGTCGCGCAGCTCGCAGGTACGTGTTTCGCGAGGACGAGGAAGAGGCACACGTAGACGTTTTTCAAGCTATGCACATGTGGCCTGGCTTCACACCCGCAGAAGCCATCTCTGGTGCCCCTTCATTAGTGGTTTGGATTGGTGGCTTGGGAGGTTTGAACCGACGCCAAACCACCAATGAAGAAACAGGTGACGCAATCTGTGGCTTTCAGCCAGTGTCCCAATGACCATAAGAAGAGGAGGGCATCCAGACGGATCCTAAAACCATGCCATCATCTGCAAAAACCGACTTTTCGGGGTCGAAATGAAATGCCACCACCTGCCCCAAAGTGGATCGGTCTGGCACCTTGCATCACTGAAGTTAGCGGCCAGCGATGCAAGCCGGCACAGAAAAAGCTGCGCAGGGCTTACGTCAGAAGGGCGCAGGAATCCCTTTGATAACAAAGGGCAGGCCACGGGCTGTGCCTAGCCCGGACTTGGAGTGCGAAAGGAGCTCCTTCGGGGCTCCCGATATTTCCCCTTTGGTGGCTCCCAGCCATCCCCTTAGTCTTTTGGCTTTTTTGGGGGATCTGAGGGCTCCCTATATTTCCCCTTTGGTGTTTTCAGACATGGGTATGGGCCACAAATGGTCAAAATAACACCACCAGGGGATCGCAGGTTTTAGTTTGTGGTTCCATTTGCCAGGGCAACCCATTTTGGGGTTACCCTATTTTTCAGAACCACAGCCACATCTTGGGGCCCATGGTTTGCCGCGATCTCCTTGTGACGTTCAGCACGCCAGGCTGCAGCCGAGGCCGGTTTGGCCGCCGCCGGCGGCCAAAAGTTTTGCGCCGAGCGCCCAGCCGAGCCGAGCAGCGGGGCGGCTCTGGTCTTGTTTTGGGGTTGGCACCGATTGGTAACCCCCCCTTTTTTAATGGTTTTAAAGGGAAGCCAACAGGAAAACCACAAGTTTGGAGGGGCCCCCCCTTTGTTTGGTGGTTTTGAGGGGAAGCCGACAGGAAAAGAACACAAGTTTGGAGGGGCCCCTAAAAAAGACAGACCCGGACCTCGTGGAAACGGCGTCGGTTGGTGGTGATGCCGGCGGATTAAAACGCGCCCTGAAAATCGGGGGCTGTTGGGGACCCTCCAGAGGTGTTCTGAATCCCCACTGGACGGGAACACCTCTCTATCAATCAAAGACCTTGGCTAAAAGTCCTCAGCAACCGGGGTCCTTTCCAAGAGAAGCAACCAAGACTTCCAAGATCATGTTGGTGGCTCCTTGGGGGGGGGGGAGTCTCTCCAGGATTTGGAAGGGTTTGGGGAGGTCGCCGAGCTTTGCCTGTGAGGTCACAGATCCCTCCGGTGCTTGCATCGGCATTCGGAAAGAGTGCGGGACTCGAAGACTCGAAGACTCGAAGTGCGGTGCCAAAAAGTTTCGCTTGCAACCGGAAGCGAACATCGACCGCTCGAAATCCAGTTTTTTGGTCCGACCTTCGATGTCTTTTCCCCTTTTTGGGTTCACATTTTTAGTGGCACCAAGAGGATTTTTCAAAGGGCAACCGAGCTTTCGGAGAGTCAGCTGAGCTGAGGCCAGATGTGAGCTCCGCCCGGACTGGCCTGCAGCTCATGCCGGGAGAGGCGCGATCCGCGGTGCAAAACTTGAACGCTGAAGCCATCAATCCCCCGTCTAAATATGGAATTGGGGGAGGGAGGGGACCCCTGGAATTCCCATGTTTGGTTCCATTTCCCTTTTATGGCGAAGACTAGAAAAATGGAATTGGGGGAGAGTGGTGGCGGTGGGTCAAAATCAATGGGATCCCATTTTGGGTAGGTGCACCACCCATTCTGGGCTTTGGGATGTTCACTGGGGGTACGGGATTTTGAGCCGTGGCCAGGTGACCCCTGGAATTCCCTTTTTGGTTCCATTCCCCTTTTATGGGGAAGACCAGAAACATGGAATTGGGCACCACCCCGCTTATGGCAGGGGAGATCCGAAACCGCCGCACTGGTTCGTGACCGGCCGTCAGGTCTTCGATGTCTCGGAAGTGCTCGAGGCGAAGCGACTTCGAAGTCGCCACTTTCAGGGCCCAAACTTGTTTCCCCGGTTTAAGGGATATCCAGGTTTTTTAGTTTCCTTTGGGACGAACTTATATGGGAATCCGGACGTTCAGCAACAAAAAAACTGCCAGGCGCCGGATGGCCAGATGTACTTGAAGCTGGCAGATGGTCGTGGCTGGGCAGTGGTCTCAGAGAGGAAAGCTTGTGTCGCACATTGTTTTTGGCATTGGTGGGTGGGTGGGTGCAACCAAAATATGTGGTGAACCTCAATATGTAAATACTCCCCTGCAGATTCAGCCTATCGTTATTTGAGGAGGGGCTTACGAGTCTGGGAAAATCAATCTCTGCCAGGCGTTCACTCGCAGCTCCAGAGATGGGCGGCTGCTGTGCCAGCGGGTCAGCGACGAGGAGGCAGAGCACATGGCTGGCTCCCAGCCGAGTGCTATGCTCGGATTTGCACCTTTAAATCTGAAGGGGCGTGAGCGCACAGGTGGGGAAATAGATGGGTTTCCCTGCCCAGGTAAACCAGGGCCATCTATTTTGCGACCAAAACAACCAAAAAGGACACCTATGCGTGAGCAAGGAAATCTGCAAGAGTTGCCAACTTGCAGATTTTCCAAATGGTTGGTTTTGACACCAGGTAATTATATTATTTTGAATGCGTGTGCACGCCAAGGCATGCAACGAATGATGGCAGAAGTGAACGCGTTGCTTGAAAGGCAACCAGCCGGCGGCTTAGCAGTGTGTGGATCCAAACACAAGTGCTGAGAACTTAGGAACTCAGAGAACAAGTTCTTGCCTCACCAGAACTGTTTCTCGGCCGCATGTTGCCTTGGGTGGGTGACTGACAGAATCAGAGTTACCGTCAACCGGAGGCAGGCCATGCTGGCGAATCCAGATGCAATGCGCTCCGCGGTCCCATGCTGAGAATGTGAAATGGCGCCAGATTTGATAGATTTGATGATGGACGCAAACATGTCGATTTTTGTCGACAATGTGATGGACACACAAATGCACGACTTTGTGCCGGGGGGGGGGGGCAGGGCGGCGACAAAATGATGTGTTGCGAACCCACACATGTCAGTGCTCAATTTGGTTGCAGGCTCAGCAGAATCCCTTCGTGGCTTCGGCGCGTGCCTCAAAATCCGTGATTTGCGAAGTGGTATTTGGCGTCGTCCAGGCCATGCAGTCAAACCCTGGAGTGCAAGAATGGATGGCTGATGGAGCAGTCGCGCGCTTTGTCATTGCTTGTGACTTTCAAACCATGTCACGACATGTGCATGCCCTTACCCAGGATCCTGAAACCCTTGCACAAGCAATGCGATCAAAAGTGCCAAACTGAGACTTGTTTGGCGTTTGGTGCAAAATTCTGCGGAACAATAAATGTCACGAACTACAATTTCACAAATTGGTGGTTATTTTCTCGCATTTGGAGCGCACAATTTGCGGAACCCTTTCAGAACAGAGTTGCATGTGTCACTGAGTTTGGCATTGTGCCAAACTGCTTGGATGGTTTTTGAGGCGGGATGATAGATCTCTGGTGATGACGTGTTGCGGTCAGTTCGCGTGTTGCAAAAAATCGCACATTGCCCGACTTGCATTTTTTTTTTAAACTGATGCATGCTCATAATTTGACAGCTGAACAAAATTGCCATCGGACAATTTGTAGGAACACGTTACCGGACTGGCTTACATTTTTGTGCGTGCGCTCATGTTCAGTCGAGTTTTCAGCTTTGCGCTGCAACCATTTGGCTGAGGAGACCTCGTTAGTCGCTCGAAGGGCCCCCCAGGTTTTGCTTCATGGCGGAGGAGCCGGCAGCGAAGAAACAGAGGACGGAGGAGGACGCGGCGGCGGCGCCCGCCGCTCCGGCGGCTCCGGCGGCTCCCGCGGCGCCTGAGGAGAAGGAGAAGGATGCCCCGAAGGCGAGCGGGCCCAAGCTGAAGGAGGCCGTGACCTTCCTGACGCAGGACGGGGACTCGTCAGACGGGGTGGGTTTGTTTTTTTTTTTTTTTTGGGGGGGGTTGCGCACCATCCCAACAAAAAGGGCACCCTTCTGGGGCGTGGTGGGGTTTGGCGTTCGGTGCAGCTCAACAAAAAGGGATTACCCAGTTAAGGGAGGCCAGACCAACTTGGGAGCCCTGGACAGAGAGATTGGGTTTCGGGGCTCTGTTTGCGCCGATGCATCAATATGTTCAAGGACGACAAGTTTGAACCACAGATTTGATTTGAGCCAGGTTTTGACGAATTATCCAGCCCTGCGTGCCCCATTGAAGGGTGGCTCAGCTCTGCAAAGACACATTGAATTACTTGCTCAAAACCCCGGTAGCAGGTTAGTAAAGGGCAGTCCCAGCCTACTTGCATAGATTTGGGTACACCATTTTAGTTCCAGGCTTTGATCGTGACTCATTTGGCTTGGATTTTATCGTTTTTGCGTTGAATGATCGTGCATGTTGACAACTTACCAAAACAGGATGGTGACACATGGTGACAGATTGTACTGGCACCTGTTGGTGGCGCAGTTGCTTGCAACTTCGGCAGTCACCCATTGGACCCAATACTTAATCACCCCATTAGATGAATAATATTTGTTTTAGACATGAGCGGCCACGATGTGACATGGACGCAGCATGTCATCAACACCGCTTACATATCCCTCCCTACATGCATAGCATCTATAAACATACATGTACGGATGTGTTCGAAGGCGAAGGTGTATACGTCTTAGCGCATGTTTACCCATGTGAGCCACAATCAAAACCCGGGTAGATGAAGGTTAGTAAGGGGCAGTCCCAGCCAGAAATAGTTGCATTTCGTCGTCTTCTTAAATATTGAAGCATGGTTCTGGGATTGCGACCATTCTAATACCGGGTCTTGATTGTGACCCATGTGCTAGACCCGGTGCTAAACGTTGGCAGGACACGACCCTGAACGTCATGGTCTCGGCTTTGGGGAATCTGCTGATGCCGCTCTCGGACGGCGGCATCCGGCACCTCCTAGCCGGTGCCAGAACGAACGTGGGCCTGAAGGGAGGGAGGTACATGTTCGAGGCAAAGATCGTAGAGCAGGCAGGGGGCGTTTTTTTCTTTGGGGGGTTGGGGGGGAGGGATTTTTATCCTTTTGGAACGGAGTAATTCTCGCATGGTCTTCGAATCTTTGGGAGTGAAGGCACAAAAACAAACACACAGACAAATGGGTTTAAGGTTTCCTGTTTTCCTGGAACCGGAACCGCAGGTTTTCCTGGTTTTCCTGATGTTTAGATTCCTGGAACCGCTGGTTTTCACGGATTCCACCGGCTTTCCGGCGATTCCTGGCTACTTGGCACCTCAGCCGGCCGCAGGTGGCGCGAGGGGATGAGAGCGGCAAGCCCGCGCCCAAGCATGTGATGCGGATCGGTTTCTCCACGGCGTCCTCGCCTTTGGTCATGGGCCATGGTGACACCGACATCTGCTTCGACATGGAGGGCGCCTCTGGCGGCAAGTGACCTGCGATTTTTGCCGTTTGGTATGGTAGCAACCATGGGATCCCATGCGATTTGCCAAATGGTTCATGGGGAAGACTATCAAAGCCGTTTTTTTGCCGTTTGGGATGGTTTTAAGCGACCATTCCTTTTGCTTGCAGAGCATGTGGCTCCAACTTTTTGCCAGTGAAAGAGTGGCCGTGGTCGTCAAATCCGTTTTGGGATCCCATTTTGGGTGGTAGGTGAATTCACCACCCATTGTAGGCTTTATTTTAGTGGTTGGATTGGGATGTTCATTTGGGGGTACGGAGTTTTGACTCATAGCCAAGTGACCTGCGATTTATTTGCCGTTTGGGATGGTCTTAAGCGACCATTCCTTTTGCCTTCGCATTATGGCTCCAAGTTTTTGTGTTGGGTGAGGTGGAACAGCTGAGGCGTTATGATCCATGAGAAGAAGCGAACGCCCCTAGGAGTGGCAGCTAGATATGGCAGGGGTAGCGTCCTAGCGGTGCTGTTGAACTTGGACAAGAACAGTCCGAACGCCGGCACCGTGAGCCTCTTCAAGGACGGGAAGAGGGTCTGCGAGCCTCAGCCTCTCCCGGACTCTCTTCAAGGCAAGACGCTGTACCCGACCATCAACTATCGCAACGTGGCGGTGAATGTGAACTTCGGCCCGGTGCCCCAAGCCCCGCTTCCGTTCACTTGCACCTTGGCGGCTGATGCTACCCTTGTCCCTTTTTTGGGGAACACCTGAGTTTTCAGCCAAAAGCTCGGTTTGTTGCCCGTGGGTCGCCGAAGAGTGACACAGGCACCATGGTTGCGGAAGCTTTGGCATCCCACAGCGCGGTGACGGCCGCTGGCTCCGCGGAGTGTGAGGTGGTCTTTGCGTGCTGTCTGCCAGACCACGGCGGGTTCGACTGGTTGGACCTGTGGAAGGTGCGCACACGGGGCCAATGGTCCCTCCACGTTAGGTCCCATAGATTTGGACCAGGCGTCAAAGTCAGAAAGTGAGGTTAGGGGCAACTGAGATCGTAATGTTGATTTCTAGTAGTTTCCCTGTAAAACCCCACCACTTTTTTGGGGTTGACTTTGGCAAAACAATGGAGCCGGTCCAAAAGGCAAACTAAGAAGCTCCACATTTCAGCATGCGTGTCACCGCCCCCGTGGCTGTACCATTCTGAAAGTCACCCAGTGCATGATGGGTAGGAAACATCCTCAGCGGCTGAATTTGATAACTCATAGCCGTCGTGAAACTTGGGCGTGTCTTCTTTTGAGGGTGTCACTTTTCCTTGGGTTTTGTTTAACCACAATCCTCTTTTCTTGGTCCCTTCCTCTTCTGGCCCCCGCCTCCCTTGGCCGGGCCAATCAGGCCAAGAACCCCAAGTACACGGAGCTCTCGGACCGCGCCATCCTAGACTGGGCGGAGAAGAGCGGCATCCCCTTCCAGAAGAACGTCTCCTCCAACGACAAGCCGGACGCCAAGTTCGGCATCCCCGAGATGGAGGCCGCGGATGGCCGTTGGCCGTGGCTCTTGGTTTGTTTTTGTGGCCCTTTAAAGGCAGGAAGGGTTGAAAAACGCGTGCTCCGGAAGTGTGTTTTTTCCCCCCTACTTTTTTTGTGGTGGAGAAGGAGGGACTTCCCCCCCCAGTTTTGTTTGTTGTTTGCTTTTGGTTGCAGATGGTGGTTTCTTCTCGGTTCATCGACCTCCACTTGATCTACAGAGCATGTTTTCAGCAAGGGCGCAAGTAACAAGGACGAACCACAAAAGAGCGCAGAGTTTCTCAGCTTCTCGGCCAGATGTTTTGGCCTCTCGCTGCCAGGATATGAGCATCAAGCGGATGATCCAGGCCATGGCACCGCTGCAGAAGCGGAACTACGTGGTGATGGAGGCCTTGGACATCGGGGAGATGGAAAAAATGGGATCCCATCTTTGGGTTTTTGTGCACCACTCATTTTAGGCTTGATTTTTGTGGGGATTGGGATGTTCAATGGTTCCCTTTCAGAACATGTTTAACATGAGCCTTTTTTTTGGGCGGTTGGGGTAGGATTTGTTTTCAAGCGCCATTTTTCAAGGGTAGAGTTTGAGTGACCTTGCCGTTCTGTTTGCAGGGTTTCCTCCATTGCTATTTTGGAGTACCTGCAAAGGTGGTTTTCGATCGTTTCAATGCAAGCCACTTGTAAATTGATCAACCGTTTTCTCAAAGTGTTTTTGTTGGATGGTTGGATGGTTCCCTTTCAGGTCGAATAATACGACCAAGGCGCCATTTCCCGTTGATCGAATAATAGGATTGTCCCAAGAGCCGTTCTTCCGAGTCACTTGGACCCGGGCTTTCCGAAAGGTGTCCAAGCTCAGTTCAACTGCACCTCCAGGATGGTTTCCAGGCCAACCGCGATCTCGAAACCCGGTGAGAAGCTCCGATTTCCCTCACCCCCACCAAGACACAGTCACCTTTCATGGGCCGACAAGGTGATGTTTGAAACCACCTCACAAGCGAGATCTACTTCCTTTCGCTTAACCCTGGAAACAAGCAAATCATTGGTGCATTTTGCTTAGGACTTTAGCTTTTTGCCAACTCATGGGTTGTCCATTAAACCACTAAAAGTTAGTCACTTTTAGCAGGGGAGCAGAAAGCAACCGAGAAACAACATATGTCCGGTAGTGAGATCGATTCCAATGTAAAATTTCACAGGGGAAACCCCTCCAAGCATAGGTGTCCTTTCTGGTTGTTTTGATCGAACAATAAATGGTGATTCCTGGTATTTACCTGGTGGTTTTTTCTCATCTACCAGGGATGTCCATCTATTTCCAACCTGAAAGGACACCTATGCCTCCAAGTGGTCAACCCCCAAAAGGAATTGGCGTCCGGAGGTGCGGGGCAACCTCATCAAGGAGAAGCGCGCGGAGGGCCTGGCCCGCTTCTTTGACAGCTGCTTCAAGAAGAAGGCGGCGTTTTTGGTCTCAAAATCCGAGGTGCCCAAAGTGTGTGTGTGTGTGTGTGTGTTTCTCTTGAAAGGACCCCTGTTTGGTTGGTTTTTGTGTGTTTTCTCTTGAAAAGGACCCCCTGTTTGCTTGGGTTTTTACAGGGACACCACAAGGAACCTGTCCGAAGTTTGGTACGGTCCCATTTCCCGCCTGCCGAATTTTGGGTGGCTGCGTTGTGGTTTTTCCCCAGGCCTGCGTGGTCATTGGGGACCCCTCCGCGGACTTCAAGAAGAAGTCCTTGGACCGGGCGGCTGGTCCATTTTTTTGTTGTTGTTGCGGGTTTCTTGGGTAAACCACCGAGTGCGCAAAAACAACAAAACAAGGGGACCTGCGCCCAGATGTAGCACTCTTTTGTGGCATCCCAGGGGTGATTCTCTCTCTCTCTCTCTGCCTTTTGGCCATGCAGCTCGAGGATTCAGGGGAGTGTAGTTGTTTTTTCTTCCCCCTCTTTTTTTTCTCCTTCATTTTTCCCTCTTATTTCTTCTTCTTCTTCTTCTTTTTCCCTTTTTTTTACAGGAGCTGATGCTGAAGGACAAGCAGGAGAAGGCCGACCTCGAGTTCAAGAAGCAGAAGGACGAGGAGGCGCGCAAGCGAGCCATCGAGAAGAAGGCCAAGGAGGCGGAGAAGGCCAAGAAGAAGGCGGAGGGTTGGAGTGGGTGGGGGGTGGGTTGGGGGGTGCGTGGGGGGTGGGCGGGGGGTGGGTGGGGGGTAGGTGGGGGGTGGGTTGGGGGTTGTTGTTGGGAAGCATTTTACAATTTTTGCTTAGTGTGGTTTAGTGGTTGAATTCCAACCACTTGACTGCTAAACATTAGATTCTTAACTGCTAAAACTTGGATTTTTAACTGCTAAAACTTTTTGATTTTTGCTCCCCTTCTAACGTCAACCAAGAAGGCGGAGAAGGAGCGATTGAAAAAGATGGCGGAGATGAAGAAAGCGCAGGAGAAGGCGTGATGCGATTGCTTTTGGGACCGGACTCCAACATTTTCCCCCACCTGCATGTTTTTGATCAACAACAATACAGCTGTTGGTGGAACAGCTTTATTGCACCAGTTCATTGGTCTGTCCATGAGGGTTTCATTCATCTCAGCTGCACAATTTCGTCCATCAAAGGTGCCATGGTCAAAATCCCTTATATGGCTTACGGTCATCCATTGGATGACCCCAACAAAAAGCGTCCAAACACGGCACAAATGCTTTGGGGCCGATTCCTGAGGCCAAGAAAGAAGCCGAGAAGAAGAAGGCTGAGGCGGAAGGAAAGGAGCTCCCTGAAGAGGAGGAGGGGTGTCAAGATAGGACTCCCAACACGGTGGTATTCCCTTGTTTCCAAAATTGAATTGCAGCAAATGTTTTGAGACTGTCTTGATCTTGGGCCTCTTACAACTGGTTGTTTATCATAAGCTTTCGGTGGCTCTTGACAATGGTGTTTTCAGGAGGCTTCCCTCTAAAAAGAGCTCTTTGACTCTATGTTTTGTGTATTGAGTTCACACGCGCAGGAGGAGGAGAAGGACGTCGAAATGGAGGACGAGGTCGAGGAGGAGGAGGAGGAGGACGTCGAAGAGATGGAAGCGGATGAAGAGCCCCCAAAAGTGAAGCTGACGCCAGAGGAACAGAGACATGGAAAGCATATCCAGTCCGCCGGGGTTTTTGATTCTTTGGGATAGGCATCAAGAAAACAACGTACAAAGGATCAAAAAGCAGCTTCTCATTCCTTTGGGGCTTTGTGTTTTGTTTTTTGGTTCTCTCGTTTTTTTTGGCCGGCGAATCGCTTCTTTTCCCTCTCCCTCTAGTTTGGTTTGGCACCAATTTCTCTGTTTTCCCATATTCCTCCCCTTTTGGCCAGCGCCTTTTACCGGGCCAGCTCCTTTTCAGCTCCTTTTCAGCTCCTTTTTCGCGCCACCCAGCTGCGCTTTTGGTTTGGGCGGGGTTTTCCCATTTCCCTCCCACCCCCTTTTGACCAGCGCCTTTTACCGGGCTCTCCTTTTAAGAGCTCCTTTTTCGGGCACCCCGGCCGCGGTTTTGGGTTTCGGTGTCCTCAGGAAGTCCACCTTCCGGAAGCTGGCGGTGCCGGACGTGCCGCAGACGGTGCTGAACACCAGCTTCACCAAGTTCTCCCTGCCCGAGGCGCGGCCTTCGGCCGAGTTCGGCCGATGGGTTTTGCGAGGGGTCAAAACCAATGGTACCATTTTGGGGTAGGTGAATTCAGCACCCATTTTAGAACCCATTTTAGTGGGTTGGATTGGGTCCGTTCACTGGGGGCTAACCGGGGTTTTGATCCATGGCCGGGTTTTGCGAGGGGTGGGCTCAACCGTCCGCCCGCTCGCCGGGCTTGCGCTTGCAACCAAAAGAACCGGGCCCGAGCGTATGATGACCGCAAGTGGGAACTCATCCAAATGTTGGGTTCCCTTACCTTTTTTTTGTTTCGGCCGATCGTATGACGACCACAAGTGAGAACTCTCCCACTTTGGGGAAACACATTTTGAGAATCTGCCAATCGAAATGACATTTCTTCTGGTTTCCTCATTGTGGGTTCGCATTTTTTTTTGCGGCCCCCAGAGGTTAGCCGTGTTTAGGTTCAGGTCATATTTTTTTCGTGGGAGAGGCGAGATGTCGAAATGGGCCGAAGGTGGACGTGATCCCAACATTTTCCGTAGCCACGGGTGGTTTCCTCTTGTTCTTCTTGGTTTCCTGAAGCCACTTGCAGGGCACAAAGCGATCAGGCACAAAGCGAAACCCGGAGACAGGTCCGCCCTCGTCTGTTCCTTGAAGGCTTTTTTCGGGGGGGATTTGGGATTTTCTAGTCTGATTTTGAGGTTGTGACACAATTGACGCATCATGCTTTTTCTTTTTTTTTGTGCTTTTTTACCACATGGGTCTCTGCAGATGAAACGGACGTGTATTTTCCAGGTCTCCTCTGCATGTTTGAGGTGCCTGTCAGTGCTGGGATGTTCCAGTGGCCCGAAAACTATACCACTCCCATCAAAGGCTGATTGTGCAGGTCGATGTATGAACCCATGGTCTTTTGGGATCCTTTAAGGGTTGGTTTCCCATAGTCAAGCCACCTCGAACGCTTCAAAAACCCGTATGCTAGGGGTTCATACCAGGGGTTCATATATGGATGTATGCATTCAGCATATCAGACACCAACATGGTTTTTTGTTATTGTTGAGATGCACCTCACTTTGGTTTTCTCGGGGGGGAAACAACAACAACAACTCTAGGGGTTGATTTCTCATTCTTTTCAACCATCATTCTTTGCAAACACGGATCTGTTTCCCCTGTTCTGATGGTTTTCTGGAAAGATTTGGATCCCTGGGTTAAGAATGGACATGGAAGTGTCCCCTAGATTAACGTTGACCCCATATGTTGGCCCCACATCAATCACCCCAGTATATTTTCTAGGGGTGTCCCTGGGTTGAGTGGTTGAGTGTTGGGAAATGGAAGTGGTCCCCAGCTGCGCCACCTTCCGCGTCGCATGCGAGACGCCAGGCTGCGGAGGGCTTCGATGATATCGCGGCTTGGTGAGCGGGGTTCGGCTCGACCCGCTCCGGCTCCGAATCCCGGAGGGCTCGATTTTTTGGCCGGGATGGGGCTGCCTTTTTCAGGGCTCCTTGACAGATCGAGACATGGCTGTGGCTGGTTGCCCTGGTAAGTGGAAACATGGACCACAACTTGCGGAACCCCTCCTGCTTGTTTTTGAGCCACACCCACATTTTGCCATCTGAGACGTGTGGCAATTTTTCAACCAAAGTAAAGTGGGGAACCCACCATCTACAAGTTGCAAGGTTGAGGTGTATCATGCATCCGGATCCCTGTTTTTGGACCCCCAAACACGAGCAGTCGCCAGATTTTTGGGAGGACCATTCTAGTGGTTGATCTAAGTTTCCATCCACTGTTAGTGGTTGGGGGCAGGGTACAAGGTACCAGAATGAAGGTCCTCTGGTATGAGGTTTGGTCAGAGCTATTCTTTTGGGAGGCGCAATATGTTCCGTGAAGCTTTTCAGGGGGATTGAGGCACCTGATCAATTTCTCCACCAGACGGCAAAAGGTTAAAACTTGCGTGTCTACCAAAAAGTCACAGGGGAACTTAGTGGAAGGACCAACGGTGAGTGGACATCATTTACTTGCCGCGACCCTTGAGTGGACATTTCTTTTGCCATCCAAGTGAGACCCAACAAAGGGAGAGGCCCATGGTGACATGTGGCTTTGTTCAAACCAAAAAATCCTAAAAATGAGTAGTCTCTTTGTGGTGCCCTAATCTGAAATGGGGCACCACCAACGTAGTGCACGTGAATCCCCGCCGAATTCTGATGTCCACCATTTCGGGTCTTTTTGGACCCATTCATATTTTCAGCCACCCAAAGGGGCGTGTCTATTTTTGAAGGCACCCGTTTTTTGTGGTCAGCCAAGCGAGGAAAACCGCTGCCGTTTCCATTTGGGAGGTTTCGGTCCCCCAAAAAAGGTTCGAAGAGCCGTTTTCACCTGGAGGGGGCCAGCCCCACCCGTCCGTCGTGTTTTCGCAGTTGTCGCGTTTGGTGCCTTTTGTTTGTGGTCTTAACGGGAAACCATGAGAGAGGAACACTGTCGCCCGCCATTTTGGGAGGGCCCCCCCCCGAACAAGCCTCGACGGGCCGCCTCGTCCTCCGCCCCTCGCCCCTCGCGCGTCGCGTCTTCCCCCGCGTTTTTTCCCCGCGCTTTTTTTTCCCGGCCACTGAGGTCTACGAGTGGACGAAGGGCGAGAAGGCCGGGGCCTTCCTGCAGAAGTGGGTCATGGATCGGAAGCTGACAAGCCGGGTGGAGGACTTGACGCCCTCCGCCTGGTTCAAGCAGAAGAACGGGGCCTGGCAGAAGGTGTGGGGGGACGGGGGACGGGGGAGAACCGGATTTCTTTTGCCGGCTATTTTTTTTGGGGAAGGGGGGGGGGGCGGTGTTTTTTTGGTTTCTGTAGTTTTCTTTCGCTTTCTTTGCGGGCGGCCTTTCTTGTGGTTGGGGGACCCCCCAAAGTTTTCTGGGGCTTCTTCAGGGAGGGCAGCAGGTGTACCCTGCCAGGTGTTCCAGAAGTGGCAGCAGAAGCAGCAGGAGTTCCGGCAGAAGCAGCAGAAGAAGGCGCAGGAGAAGGCGCAGAAGGAGGCCAAGAAGGCACAGGCCGCCAAGCTGGCGGAGATGAAGGCGGCCGCCGAGAAGGCCAAGAAGGAGGCGGAAAAGGCTGAGAAGGACGAGGAGATGGAGGCCAAGGAGGAGGAGGAGGACTCACTTGGCGAGTTGATGCACTAGTATTTTTTTTGGGTTTGGACCAGATTAGTAGTAAATATGAAGTTTGGACTTCTTTTGGGCCATCCAGCGAGAGGATGTGAAAGAAGAGGAGAAGGAGGACAAGGCAGATGAGGAGGAGGAGGAAGAAGAGGAGGATGTGGATTTTGAGGGCATTGACATCTTCGGCATTGACGAGGTGGATGACATTGGGGGAGGCATGCCCTTGTACAAGGACTTCGGGATGGAGGATTGGGC